GGAATCTAGGGTGATAGAAGACAAGGGATTAGCTTGTCCAACTCCTTTTGCCTTAGTTTGACATCCATTGGCTAAAGTAACAGTGGGAAGAGACTTTGAATATACAATATTTGACAAAAGTGATATATTATCAGAGATGTGATCAGAAGCGCCTGAGTCCATGACCTATGGACCAAGAGTGCTAGACTGGGAAACACAAGCAAAAGAATTACCAGTAACAGAAGTATCAGTCTGAGCAACTGAGGCTACTTGTGGAGATGTCTGCTTACTTGCTCGATACTGAAGGAGCTCATTATATTCTTCTTTAGATAAATAAAATCCTTGGTTACCTGGAGTCTCGGTCTGAGCAATGTAAGTATTTTTGGGTGGACGACCATATAAGGAATAGCACATTTCACGAGTGTGTCCAAGTTTGTGACAATAAGAACACTTGTGTCTAGATCTTCCAAAACAACCTCCTCCTCGTCTATGCTCCATAGTTTGAGATGCCCGAGCATCCATTGTCTGGGATGCAAGAACAGAGGAATCAAGTATCTGTGATGAAANTCATAAACTGACTTACAACACTCACAGGATAAGAAATGTCGGGTCTAGTCACTGTGAGATAATTTAATTTTCCAACCAGCCGCCTATAGCTTGCAGGATCGCTAAGCGGCTCCCCCTGTCCTGGCATAAGTTTAGAATTCGGATCCATCGGAGTGTCAACAGGTCTGCAACCTATCATCCCCGTCTCCTCAAGAATGTCTAAAGCATATTTTCTTTGAGAAATAACAATACCTGAGCTAGACTGGGCAACCTCAATACCTAGAAAGTACTTCAATCTGCCTAGATCCTTAGTTTGGAAGTGCTGGAAGAGATGCTGCTTCAGATTGGTAATACCATCCTGATCATTGCAGTAATAATAATATCATCAACATAGACTACCAGATAAATACATAGACTTGAAGCAGAGTGTCGATAAAATATAATCAAATAACAAGCTGTGAGAACTGCATCGCCTCAAAAACGCAACGGAACACGAGATTCAATTAGAAGTGTGCGAGCAGTCTCAATAAGGTGTCTATTCTTTCTCTCAGCAACCCCATTTTGCTGAGGGGTATAAGGACAAGATGTCCNGTTGCAAATTATTACCAAATAGGAGAAAGAATCAACTGTAATTCACTGAAACAGTGTACGGAAATACAAAAACAGAATACTGAAATACTGTAGCTGTCAGAATAGTACTGTAGTTGTCGGAATAGTACTGTAGCTGCCGGAAAAAACTCAAAGTTGTCGGAATGAAATGAAAACAGTAGGGGTAGGATCAGAATTACCAGGCGACCCAACTGTTCTGAAGGAAGATTTTCAAAAATGGCCGGAAGTGGTCGTACGCGCCGGCGCGTGAGCTTCTGGTGGCGCGTGGAGTCGCGTGAGGAGGCTGCTGCCGGAGTTTTTCACTGGGGTTTGGTCGCCGGACAGTTACGACTCTTGTGGTAGTGTTGGATTTTGCACAACACTGACAGAAATGAAGCAGATAGAAAACAACCTTAAAAAAGTACTGATTTCTCTTTCCCGTAATCGCTGGAATTTATGCACAGCGATTTCTCTTTCTCGGAATCGCTGGAATTTATGCACAGCGATAAGTGTCTCACAATTGCTCTGATACCATGTGAGAAGGCACGGGAGAAAATATGTTATTGATATTAGATTAACAATACAATACAAGAGGTCCTTATTTATAGCTATACTATACAAGGACATACTATTCTTCTACCAATGTGGGACAATACTACACTATATACATGCTGTAAACTAACAAACCTATGGTTCATAACTTTAACCACAATAGTATGTTGCAATCATTAATTTTTCCTTTGTTCTTATCTATTAAAATCAAGATGCTCTTTCTTCACTCGTTTGACATCTTTTCACTCCATAATATGACTTGGTTAGGCATACTACTGCGCTCTCTCCTGGCCATTTCCATACTTCTATAGGGGTACCATCTAGACCATGGGATCTTTTAACCATCATATTTGTCGTGACATCCCTCTTTTTCTTTAAAGAGGCATAATCATATGAATCTAGCTAAGGCTTCTGTCTGTCAACAACAACAACCCAGTATAATCCCACTAGTGGAGTCTGGGGAGGGTAGTGTGTACGCAGACCTTACCCCCACCCTGGGGTAGAGAGGCTGTTTCCAATAGACCTTCGGCTCCCCCCCTCCAAGAACTCCCACCTTGCTCTTGGGGTGACTCGAACTCACAACCTCTTGGTTGGAAGTGGAGGGTGTTCACCACTAAAGCAACCCACTCTTGTCATATAATAATCATATGAATGTAGCTAAGGCTTCCGTTATGTCAAAACTTGTTAGGACATAGACATTCTTAGTTTAAGTTTTACCTCTCTTCTATCTCTCTGATGCTAGTTTATATATCTTATGTTTTCAATTTTTGGCAAATGCGTAGCAAGTTGAAACTAGTTTTGTTGCACCAACCTTAACTTTTTCTTACACCAAACTTAATCACCTCTTGTAATTTCCATTCCACCTTGTATAGTTCTTTTAGTCCACCAGTTTTTAGTCTGTTTAGCTGTCACTCGCTTTGAAATAGATTTGGTGCTTTTTCTAGGAGATTGGATTTAAGCTTTTGTGATTTAATGTGTATTCATGCTTCTTCCTAATGCATTTCATACAATGTTGAAATTAATCTCACAGGTTCAAAACACATTTCGAGATCTTGAAGAATCAAATATTCTTTGCCCATACATGAATGATGCTATAAAAGAGATATCTAAAGCATGCCAAGCTTTTGAAGCCAAAGAATCAGCGCCTCCAGTTGCTGGTACGTAATTTTCCAGGTTGACGTACGTTGTTGTCTGTGAAATGTTTCTGAGTGATTTCTCCTATGATTAACAGTTACAGCATTGCGCGCCCTTCAGTCTGAGGTCACAAAAGTTTATATATTGAGGCTCTGTTCTTGGATGCGGACTACAACTGAGAAGATATCAACAGATGAATCCTGGGTCCCAGTATCTATTTTAGAAAGGAACAGATCTCCATATACAATTTCTTCCTTGCCTCTGGCTTTCCGTTCAATTATCACATTTGCAATGGATCAGATCAATTTGTAAGTTAAATATGTCACAAAATGCTGTATGTACATTTATGCATAACTATACATATGACTAATCCTCCTGCTACGTACCGCAGTAAGCTGAAGGGTCTTCCCTAGCTGGCTTCTTTTCAATATGCAAAACAGTTGTTCAATTGCCTTTGATGTTTGTCAGGAAGTAATTTAATTTAGCTCCAATTTATTTTATAATTCGTATATGTGCATCCAAAAGTATATGTTTGCGAAGCTATCAAGAGTGATTCAGATATACATGGGCTCGCTCATCAGTATAAACCGAAAAATATATGTTAAAAGTAGATTCTTGTGTTTCCTCAGTGCTGTTGACACACACTCATGTCCATGTTCCAGCTGAAGAGAGGGGAATTTTATTTGATTTGAATTATACCATGGTTTAGTGATGCTTACTATAATGAGTTATGCTTATTGATACCATTAACTATTAAGACGACAACTCCTTAAAGGTTTTATAAGTTACAAACAACTGATTGAGCGCACACATAATTTCTTGTTAGCAAAGATGTAGCGCTTCTTGTCTTCTTAAGTTGTATGGGCATTGTAATATAGGCCTTCAGGAAACAACTTGAAATTGTTACTTGGAGTGAATTTTGAAAATATCGGAACTTTTGGTCGGTTATTACACACATTTTGTGCAATCCTTTTCTGTCCAGAATGATTCAGTCTTTGCGGAATGAGGCTACGAAGTCAGAGGACATGTTCATGCAGCTTCAAGAAATTCAGGAATCTGTTAGACTTGCCTTTTTGAACTGTTTGCTTAATTTTGCTGGTATGTAAAGCAGTTGATACCTCAGCATTTTAGTAGCTGATAGTATTTGGAGTATAATACAAATTTTTGCACTCTGATTAGGCCAGCTGGGGCACATTGGCAATCACCTTATAGACGAATATAACGGAGAAAGTTTACATTTTCAAAACGGACATGCTGAACCAGAAAAATCATCGGATCCTTTTCCTGGAAGCATTATTGATCCACATCGACAGTTGCTGATGGTCGTAAGTAATATTGGGTATCTCAAAGATGAACTTTCTCATGAATTGTACAGCAAGTACAGACGAACTTGGCAGCAGCCTAGGTATAAAAATAGCTCTCTAGTACTCTATTGCCTGTAAATCAAGCTAAAAGAGCCTAGGTACAAAAATAGCTCTCTAGTACTCTATAGCTTGTAAATCAAGCTAAACCAGTACAAGTAACTCTCTAGTAATGAATAGCTTGTCTATTTTTTTTATGATTTGTTTCGAATATAATGTCAGAAGCATTGGGAAAAATCTACTCAATAGAAGTTGACAGGACTAAGGGTACTTTGTTATATCAGTGTGTTGCAGAACTACATCCCAAGTTGTTTGCCTAAAGAGTGGCAATTCAATGGGGAACAGGAGTTTGTACGTTTTTTCAACCACTGCAATTGCATACTTTCTATAAGATAGCCATGGGAACAAATTTTCTCGTTTAAGGGCCTGTCTCTCTTAACTTTTTTAATGGAAAAGTTTTCGCCCAGGAATTTGAAAGCTGTCTTTGAACAAAGGTCTGATGTGTTATTAGGACCTAAAATCTTCTCTTTAGTAGTTCTTTTCGGCAGTCGTCTTGTCTTTAGAGACTTTCACAAGATAATATTTTGTCGAGCTACCTAACATTTAAATTAACATCATACTATCTAGTGTTGTTAAAGGCCCACCTGAAATGCACTTCAGTCGTGAGGGTTAGTGTAATGCAGGCTGGGCACTTCATCTTGCTTAAGAAATGCTTTAGTACAGGCGCCGGACGTACCTCAACATTCGTGGACACTTTCTTAAATAGAAAAACACTAAACAATAAAATGGAAATGATAAAGTAATGTACTGATTGTTAAGGATATATCGTGGGTGATTATTTAGTGGTTAGAATAGGAAATTAGTAAACAAAAACTAGTCTCTAATCTGAATTGGGAAATCTTTATCAGAAATTTAAATGATTTCTGAAATTGATTGACATGGTTTTCTTCATATGTTCCAATTTATTAAGGTTGTTCAACAGAATTGTTTGTATTCCTAGTTATTTTTTCTTGCATTACATATTTATATTTTTTGTTTTGTTGTCCATTATGTTTTTTGCTTACTTTAGCACTCGCTTTGTACTTAAAGCCTTAGAAGACACTTGGCGCTTTTCTACGTTTTTTTCCCTTTGCTGAAGTTGATACTGAAGTGCTATGCTACCTTAGGGGTAAGGATGAAGAGGATGGTGATATGCAAGATCTGATTACGTCTTTCTCTGGACTCGAAGAGAATGTGCTTGAGCAGTATACTTTGGCGAAGGTATGAGTGATTCATATCTTCAGCAGGCCAAAAGCTGTTACATACGCACTAAGATCCATAAGTATGTGTGTAATGTTGGCACTATTTCATCTATAATAGACATCCTTCTGTTTTGTTTCACTTTTTTTCTTAAAAGATGTGCGTGACAGACTACATTAACTCCCAGTATACTTTGTGCTTGATATTGGTGGAGTACATTTTTCTAAAAGGACAGACGGTCGCCTCTTAAATTTTGCTTTATCCCTGAATGGAGGATCACTAATTATACTATTCTTGGAAATATTGTCAGACAAATTTGATTAGAACAGCTGCTGTAAACTATTTGTTGGAGGGTAGTATACAATGGGGTGCTGTACCAGCAGTTAAGGTGATAACTCTTTCTCATTTTAGCCTTCTATAACAGAAAACGTTTTCCACTTGGAATGATAGCACTATTGTCTGTGTTGCAGGGAGTGCGAGATGCTGCTGTGGAATTGCTGCACACTTTAGTTGCTGTACATGCAGAGGTTAATTCTCCAATGCTTTTCTGGAGATATTGTTGCTTGCTCATTTATTTTTGGTGGATGGAGGATATAATTGATTTATCTGGTGCAGAGATAAATGTTTTAAACCTCAAAACTCTATCTTGCACTGTGGCCTTCTTATCAAAACTGCTCTCCAGCATTTCTTAGTCTAACTTCTTTGTTTTTTCTCTTACAGGTCTTTGCCGGTTGTAAGCCTCTGCTGGATAAGACACTTGGTATTCTTGTTGAAGGCCTAATAGACACTTTCCTAAGCATTTTCCATGAAAACCAAGACAAAGATTTTATAGTATTAGACGTGAATGGCTTTTGTCAGCTTACGCTTGAGGTCAGTTAAATTGCTAGTGCGTCCGGGAATCACTTTGCTACTGTTATACAGCTTCCTTTTGGATGTGTAAATACAAATTGGTTCTTTCCTTTTGTTTCTTTGAGTGCTTTTATATTGCTTAAGGTTTTATGCTGTTTGCAACAGGTAGAAGCAGATAATACTTAAAACAAGAACGCAGAGAGTGGGATTTAGATTTGCGTTCTTGCATTCTTTTATATAGATATTTTTATGGACTACCAAAAGTTGATAGAATAAAACAGGAAACTGAAATGGAGAGGTTATGCTCTCCCATGACTCTGATAGTCTGTATTGCTTAATCTTGCAGCTTGATTATTTTGAGACCATATTGAACCCTTATTTTACACATGAAGCAAGGGAGTCCCTGAAAACTTTACAAGGGGCCCTCTTAGAGAAAGCGACTGAGAGTGTCACAGAGACTATTGAGACTCCAAGTCATAGCCGTCGGCCAACACGTGGAAGTGATGATGTGCTTCAGGATGAAAGGCAGCAAGGGGCGTCTGTATCACCTGATGACCTGATTGTACGAAATACTTCCTCCCTATCGACTTTTTTCCAGATTTTGGGACATGTCTTTTCTCTATGCAATCTGCTTAGACATAATTAGACATGCTATCACATGGTTCAGTCCAGCCAGCAAATTTGCTGTTGGCAATGATATTTTCCTTGCACCAAAAGTTAACTAGTATAGACATCATCATTAAAAGTGTTTAGCCACCCTTCCTTACATACCTTTGAATTGTTGGCAATTTCACAGGCTCTTGCGCAGCAGTATAGTTCAGAGCTACTTCAATCTGAACTTGAGAGGACCCGAATCAATACGGCATGCTTTGTGGAGTCAATTCCTCTGGACTCTGTCCCAGAATCAGCAAAAGCAGCTTATGCTTCTTTTAGAGGATCAATGGATTCTCCTGGTAGAGATTTTAGAGGATCTCCAAATATTGGACCCGCAAGCTTCTCCAAGCATAGACGTCGATAAATTATAGGTCTATTTTATTTTCTCAAGGTATTTCCTCCATAATGCTTGTGCCGTTGTAGTATATTAAATTTACATTCTTTTCTTGGATGAGAGACATTTTGCTGATAATTTAACCATAATCACAAGCCTTATTTTAATTTCAATTTTGCTGATAATGAAACCATAATCACAACCCTCATTATAATTCATTCATGATTCATGTTTCCAGGATGAGTTAATTTTAACAGTATCAAGCATCTTCAAGTGTTCCAATTTTCGCCACAGTGGGGAAGCCTCTTATTGAGATATGAAACACAAAGACCACAAGTGATTTTACAAACTAATTTATAGGTGTATCCTGCAAGTTGTTTGTTTTATCCAAATTTTACTTTGGCCATAGTATTGTATGGCTTCCAAATTCCAATTTTGTTGACCTTGTAGAAGTCAGCTCCAGCTCGCTCTGATCTAAGACAATCTTCTTGGAGAAAGGATTGATCTTCATTAAATCAGCAGAATAACGGTAAGAAAGCAAGGAATTTTTCTTTGGAAAATATGCTGTTTGGAAAAGCCCATTCAGTTTCTGCATTTTCTTGCTACAAAATTGTGGTGAAACAAAAAATTGCAGAAATATGACGCTTTTTAGGGTGGTTTTTAACTTGACCCTCGCTTTCCCCATGGGCATAACTTCAAGGTCAAAAGTTAAAAGTATTTCCCATGGGGCAAGCAGGGGTAACACTTGTTAAACATGAAATTCTGGTCATGGGACAAGCGGAGACAAATTCAAGACCGTCAACTTTAAGGGCTATATGTGTACTTCATCCACACTATAGACCATTACTATTCATGATTTGGGATTTTAGAAATACCAACGGCCACTAAGATTTGAATTAGTACACTACAATTTGAATCCTGAATTGAATTGCCAGCTGAAGGACGAATAGTTTGATATTTATGAGCAAACCAAACGAACAAAATAAAAGTCATAAAGTAATATAGCTTGCAGACAAAAAGCTAATCCAATTGTGGGTTTATCCTCTCTTTTATCACATTGAAATGGACATGAGTAAAATCAAATAATAAAATAAGAGGAAGTGGACTTGAGACTGAGAGTTACATTAGCCTTTAGCCGTATGTCCACAAAGCCTTTCCTTTTTCCTTTCTCTTGTTTTTTTCCCAATTGCTGTTTGTCATTTGAAGCCAATATGAACTTTTTGCAACGTCCCTTTTACGCACAGCTGCTGAATGTGGGCTTTTTCATCTGCTTTTCTTCTGGTCCATTTCTTATAGGTCCAGTAATAGTGACATTTAACATGCACCTTCATTTTCAACTTATTACCCACTTGTAAATTTATGCTTTTCACCTTTTCTTTTTTTGTACCGTTTTCCTTCCTTTTTGGACAAAGGGGATTGATTTTCCCTCTTTCATTCTTTATTTCGTTTTTCTATTTATTTTCTGTGCCTAAAAATAATTTTGCATTTCGAAGAAAGATCATCCTTATCAAGTGAAATCCTGAAATTGCATTATCTTTTGCAGGTTATAAGGGAATCCTGAAACAACAGTAAAGTTGTTTCTGTATGATCAATAGGTCACAAGTTAGCCACTAGTGTTACCGTTAGAGTAGGCTCCTACATCACATCCCACGGTTTTTTCTCAGACATGCATAAATCCGAGATGCTTTGTGCATCGAACTATCCCTTTTTTTCCTTGCAGGTTAGTAAATTGGCATAATCTTGAACAAAACTTTAAGAATGTATTCCTCTAATGGCTGGCCTGCAGCTTGCTTTTCAATTTTTATACAGTAATTATTTTTATTAGATATTGGCATGATTTATTTTTCCTTTTACTTGTAACTGCATAGGAAAATTTGCATAAGGCCATAAGCAGTGGCGTACGCAAATTTTTTTTCTAAACGGTGTCACCATTTTAAACCATAAACAAGTAAACAAATATATTTAAAAAAGAACACAATTTGAATCATATTAATAAAACACGACTCAAGTACATTACTACTGCTCTTCTTGATAAGTTTTTATTTTTTGAAATGCATTCAAAATAAGCTTATTAGAGATAATACTAAATACTTTTTTCTACATAAGACACCAAACATTCAATTAAAACTCATCACTCATTTGATTTCGCGAATTATTTCTAAATAAATTTTATCGTCGAGAATAAAGTTGAAGGGAAAAAGAAAAAAAAAATAGCCGAACTACTTATGGAAGCAACATCATCCTTCCATATTCAAATAACGTTATGTCGCTTAAGAGGTCAAATATGACTCTCGACTCGTCGATCAAGGTTTTGTTAATAACTAAAAGGTCAATGGTTCAAACCCAACTGGTGTATCTTTTTTGTAGCACAAAAATTGATGTTGTCTAAGCTTTGAACTCGCAACCTTGCTTACTAAAGTAGGGCACTTGACCACACAACCTACTTAGGTGCTTATTTCAAGTGGTGTCATTTTATTTAATTAATTCAAATTTTTTGTTTCGACATTCAATCATATATAAATATTTAACAAAATTTTCGGACAAAGCGATGTCACGTGACACCGCTTCGCCTAAGCTAGATCCGCTTATGGCCCAAAAGGGGACGTGCTATATCACCAAAATGAGAAAAAGGCAAAAATTTTCTAGGAAGATTTTGGGGGGAAATTTAAAAATAGCTAGATTTACAAGTGGTAATTGAAAAATAGTCACAGTTTCAAAAGTAATCGAAATTTAGCCACTTTTCATGTAAAAATAAATCTGAACGAAAATACTGTTTAAAATCCGGAAAATATTTCAGTATAATATACCGATCCGGCATAATATGCTGGAAGTTCATACACATGTGCTCTAATCTCCAGTATATTATGCTGGAACTTTTCGCGTGTTGGAGTTCTAGCATAATATGCTGGAAGTTCATACACATGTGCACAAATTTCTAGTATATTATGCTGGACCGATCCGTGTTGCAGCAATATAGTAGCTATTTTTTAATAATTTTACAAACACTGATTATTTTTCAATTATTAGTCCAAAAACTGACTAGCCCTTATTATTTTTACAGATTTTGGTCGCTCTTCCACGCCTTTCTAGCAGCCAAAGACATTTTCCATCCCGTTGCCTATTCAGTAAAAAAAATAATGCAAGGAAAAGGAAAAGAAAACGAAAAGGATCAGGAGAAATGTTGAGGGAGAGTTTCTTAAAAATAAAACATGATTCTTGTTTTCTTGATAAAGGAAATATACTACAACCACATTGGGACTATAATTTTTTTTTTCAATAGTGTTATGAAATATAACTCAAATTAATAATATAGAACAAGAAAAAACAAGCTAAGAGATATAGAGAGAACCAGAGAAGAGATTCTTATTTCTTCTTCAATTTTGTGTATTTTTCTATCTATTACAAGGCCTTTATATAGGCATGAAAAGTGAAGAAAATATGTCATTGAATATGTCATTAAGCATTTGAGATGAATATCATGGAGGAAGAGTAGACATCCACCTTAATTTGATATTTCTTATAACACTCCCCCTTGGATGTCCATAGATAATGTGCATCGTTAAAACCTTATTAGATAAAAAAAATCCTAGTGAAGGAAAAAGAGTACACATGTTTAGAAATACACTTTTTGGTTGCCTCATTAAAAACCTTGCAAGAAAAACCCAGTAGGACAAAACCTTGTAAGGAAAAAAGAGTATACCGCGCATTAATTCCCCCCGATGAGAGCATCAACTCACATCCTAGAGCCTTCGCATCCCAATCTTGTACACTAGTTTCTTGAAAGTTGACGTCGGTAGAGATTTGGTAAACAAATCAACCATATTATTACTTGAATGGATCTGTTGCACATTGATATCACCATTCTTTTGAAGATCATGTGTGAAAAATAACTTTGGTGAAATGTGCTTTGTTCTATCTCCTTTTATAAATCCTCCCTTCAATTGAGCTATGGATACTGCATTGTCTTCATACAAAATTGTGGGTAGTTTGTCACACTTCAAACCACATTTGTCTCGAATAAGGTGTATTACAGACCTCAACCATACACATTCTCGACTTGCTTCATGAATAACAATTATCTCAGCATGATTAGATGAAGTAGCCACGATTGATTGCTTAGTCGATCGCCAAGATATTGCAGTACCTCCACATGTAAACACATAGCCTGTTGCCTTGTGTGGGTCAGATAAATACCAGTATCGGTATAACCAATAAGATCGGGACTGCAATCATTGCCATAAAATAAGCCCATATCGGTAGTCCCTTTTAGATACCGCAATATGTGTTTGATTCCATTCCAATGTCTCCCTGTAGGAGCATAGCTATATCTTGCTAAGACATTAACTGAAAACGTTATGCCAGGCCTTGTAGTGTTAGAAAGATACATTAGTGCACCAATTGCACTGAGATATGGTATTTCAGGACCAAGAAGCTCTTCATTCTTTTCTTGAGGTCGGAACGGGTCCTTATTCACATCAAGTGATCGAACAACCATCGGAGTACTTAATGGATGCGCTCCATCCATGTAAAACTGTTTCAATACCTTTTCTATGTAGGCAGATTGATGAACAAATTTGCCAAATGTTCAATTTGCACACCGAGACATAATTTTGTCTTTCCGAGATCTTTCATCTCGAATTCCTTCTTTAAATAATCTATTGCCTTTTGGAGTTCTGTAGGAGTTTCAATAAGGTTTATGTCATCAACATATACGGCAAGTCCAACAAATTCCGATGTTGTTTTCTTTATAAAAACACATGGACAAATGAAATCATTTATATAACTTTCCTTTAATAAATATTCACTAAGGCGGTTATACTATATTCTTCCTGATTGCTTTAGATCATACAAAGATCTTTGCAATTTGATTGAAAACATTACCTGAACTTTGAATTATGTACGTCAGGCATTTTAAATCCCTCGGGAATTTTCATGTATATCTCATTAACAAGTGAGCCGTATATGTAGGATGTAACCACATCCATTAAATGCATGTCAAGATTTTCAAGGACAGCAAGACTAATGAGATAACAGAACGTTATAGCATCCATAACAGGAGAATACGTCTCTTCATAATCGACACCATACCTTTGTGAAAATTCTTGTGCAACAAGGCGTGCCTTATATCTTTGTACCTTATTTTTCTCACTCCTTTTACGTACAAAGACTCATTTATAGCCAGCTGGTTTAACACCATTAGGTGTTTGGACTATAGACCTAAAAACTTCATGTTTCTCAAGTGAATCCAACTCAGATTGGATTGCTTCTTGCCATTTTGGCCAATCACGTCTTTGTCGACATTCTCCAACAGATTGAGGTTCAAGATCCTTATTATCTTTCATAATGTTAGATACAATATTGTATGCAAAGACATAATCCACCACTATATTCAATCGATTCAAATTTGTCTCAATATCGACTGGATTTATTGATAGTTCCTTATTTTCTTGAGTCTGAGGCTCATCGATATCCTCATGAATTTCAGGATTGGTTAACT